ACATAACACACACACACAAACACATACACACACACACACACACAGACACACACACACACACACACACACACACACGGTAACAACAATAGAAAACAAACACTTACATCGGACACAGAAATAAACCTGACGTCATCACCATGTGGTGTCGTATGCAAATGCAACCGATCATTGTAATAATAGTTATTATCATGTTAACGACTGGTGCTGGCCACAACAGATAGCATATTCAGCATGCAACCGTTAACTCTGCCAACGCCCCAAAGGTTAAGAAGTTAGAAAGGAAAAATTCGTCGCACAAAGAAGGGCAAATTGTTATATAGATAGATAGATATATATATATATATATAAGCAGTGCGAGGTAAATCCTTGGTGGAACAGACAATCAGTGTTCAGTGTTTCATGTTCTGTTCAATATTATGTACGATCTTTGATATTATCATTCAAATCTCGGCTTGAAGAAAAGCCCACCTCGCTCGCAACGATCGCTTTTTTTTTTCTTCTTTTTTTACATGTTTTGCCGGCCCCGTTTTTCACAAGACGTTAATTATTATTAGATAGATCGATCCATCAGGGTATTAGCTGATCTATCATGGTTTGTAGACCAACGGTTTGAAAAGAAATATTCAAGTTCTATTAATAATTATTTATTGCTTCCTTCCGAGAAACTGACATGCCGGCCTTGAGCAAACATGCAATCATGAGCGACTGAGCACAGTCATAATTTTTCTCAAGAAATCAACAGAGGTCTACAGTACAAGTACACCGTTTGCTTTCCTTCCACGTGCTGAAACGCATGTCAGAAACTGCGCCGCACACGAATTGAAGCATTTCAATAAAAGTTTTCAGTTTAACAAAAACATTTCCTATGAACCATGATCGTGTGCCAAGAAACTTCGTCAAAGTAGTCTAGGACAACGGGTGTTATTTGAAATAAATCAGTAGGCGCTCATACTCATAGTATAGTGAAATCCAGTCTAGGAAAACGGGAGTTCTTTGAAATAAATCAGTAGGCGCTCATACTAAATCTAGTCATACTCATATTATAGTGAAATCCAGTCTAGGGAAACGGGAGTTCTTTGAAATAAATAAATCAGTAGGCCCTCATCATAGTGAAATCCATTCTGTGTACGAAAGTCTTCTTCTCCTTCATTCTTAGAACTGAGAATTTCGTAGACATAATTTTTAATTCGTCAGCCAGGAAATGGAGAACACTCTCAGAACACACGTTCCTGTGATGAGCACACACACACACAGAGACACACTATCAACACACGCGTGCTGGGGGCGAAGGGAGCGGGGGAGGGGAGGGGGAGGGAGAGGAAGGGGGGAGAGGTGGTGTGTTTACCTGTGACGTTGGGGAAGGAACTAGCACAGACGTCTGGAATCGTGAGGAATTTTCGGGTGGAGGTCAAAGGTCAAAGTGCAAAGGTCAAAGGGTAAACGAATAGTGGAGAAGGGGCGCGGTTTTATTAAAATTTCTTAACGTGTGACCAATGCTCCCCCCCGCCTCCACACCTTTACTCACATCTTCTATCGGTTGCACGTGTAGCCTACTTGGTTGTGTGTGTGTGTGT